ACATATTATAAAAAAATTTCATTGTACAGCTGTACAATGACAATAAAAAGCTATTCTATTCTATATATATATATATATATATATATATATATATATATGTATATGTATATATATATATAATGATAAACCTTTAATAGGTATAAATATATAAATAGGTACATATTTATTTTTGTATCATTGATATACTATTAAAGTTGTTAATATTTTGATTTGATTCTAGTTATTTATTTTGTTAGTTAACAGTTTTAGTAATTTTGTAGCATGTTTTTGTCATTTTTATTCGTTTTTTTTTTCCAATGTCAAATTTTGTATGTATTTTTTAATATGCTGAATATATAATTCGATGTATTTTTTATTTAGTAGGTTTAATTCATTTAGTATTTTAAATTAAACGAAACTAAAAATGTTGTTTTTTTAGGGTTTAAGTTTTAGTTAACAATAATAACCCTGATTAATATATATATTTTTTTTTTTTAGAGCGTGGTGGTGGTATATATATTTAAACGAAAATATTTTTAAAGACTTTAATGGACATTATTTCCTGAACAAGTGAAATCCTCTAATGTTTATTCAAATAAACGGGGAAAACTTTTCAGAGTTGTATGTGCTAGGGATAGAAATGTGTATTATTTTACAGCAGATTTGTTGTCCCTTTTTTTTATTGTCCCATGTTTTATATTATATTTTATTTTCATATAATCATTCCTTTTGTTCTGCATTTAATTTTCATTCATTATGTTTGTAGTGTTGGAATGCCGCCTCCCTTGTTGTGTACATTATTTTATAAATAAATAAATTATTTGACCTACAGATAATCTATATAAATATACAGGTTTGTTGTATTTTTTTTAGTCATCGTCATTTTTTAACAATTGATCTGAACAGATGAAAAAAAATATTCAAAATTCTAAAGGCACAATAATATTTAAAAGATGTCCTTAAAGTGTTAATTGTGACATCTCAAACTAAATGAATCATTGTACACATATTATATATAATGGTTATATATATATATATATATATATATATATATATATATATATATATATATCATAATATATATATATATATATAAACAAAAATATTTTTAAATACTTAATGGACATTATTAGATTTTAAAGGACAAGATTTTCCTGAATAATCCTCTAATGTTTATTCAAATAAACAGGAGGAAAACTTTTCAGAGTTGTATGTGCTAGGTATATTGTATGTGTTGTCCCTTTTTTATTGTCCCATATTTTGTTTTATATTATATTTTATTTTCATATAATGATTCCTTTTGTTCTGCATTTCAGCGTTTGATGTAGTCTGTGAGCTCGTCGTTCTGGTTGATGTCTCGAGGTATGGCCAGGGTCCCTCCCTGTGCGATGCAGTCCTCGTTGGCCTCATGGTAGTGCTTGGCCTGCTCAGAAACCAGGTAACATTTCCTGTGGGCTTTGATGCCACGCAGGCAAACTGAAACAATATACAAAAACATTTACTCATGTAAACTGTTTTATAGCAGTTTCGCACATTATATTTCCATCTTTATTTATGAAGCACTATTTATAAGCTAACAAGTACTTACATTGTTCATTGTTTAGTCAGTTATTACAGTATATTCACATCTGTCTATCATTTACATCTGGCACCATTTAGTGTCTCACAAGTCACAACATATATGTTTTATATACATGATTTGTTATTTTTTATATATATTATATATATTATTATTATTATTATTATTATTTATTGTCAGTCTTCGCCCTTGTGAAAAAGAAATACACCTTAGCATACATTTAAAAATGGTACTTTTAATGGAAATAATATACTTTAAAGAATACACTTAAGTCTGAACTGAATGTAATTGTTACGAGTCCTGTCCATGGACTTCCGTCCGATCTCCACCAGAGATCGCTCTTCCATTACATTGACTCTCTCACTACACAGACTGTTACACGTTGTCATAGTCTTGCCTTGCCTACTTTCCCGTGTTGGATTCTTGCCTGAGTATTTTGGATTACCCTTTCGTCTTGTCTTTTGGATTATGTTTGCACCTTGCCTGGACTATTGCTTGTGTTCCTCGGATTACCTCTCTTGTCACGCCCTCTGGATTACGTTCGCCATCGATCGACCCACGCGGATTACTCTTGTGTCTTGCCTGTGCCATATCTGTTTGCTGGTGTTCGACCCTGCCTGTTTCTGACCATGTCTTCTAATAAAGCTTTGCAAATGGATCCACACGTCTCTAGTCTCGTTCGCCCCGTAACATAAACAAACTGCTCAATTCATTAATTTTGCAATGTGTTTGAACTTCGAAATGTGGTTGAGCAGACTTTCAATAGATGGATAAAAATTATGATAGCATTAAATCTTGATTTGTATTTAGAAGATGAACAAAAGTTTTATGGGTGTGGAACAATATGAGGGTAATGAATAAATGATAACAGAATTTTCAGGTAAACTTTAAATTGTATATATCTGCAGTATATGTCCTTAATGTCAGTAAAGAGAAAATTACTCACTGCTGTTGACTAAATACTGAAAAATACTGAATAAAAAATTTAAATATAATTAAAATAAAAGAATTGTTAAACATAAATAAATAAAATAAATAAATAAATAAATCATACAGTGAGGACTGTTTTTGGAGAAGTTTGTTGTGCTAAACACAACTAAACTGCAACTGTGTTGAAAGGATTGTAGTGTGCAGGGAGAATATGTTGTTTTATAAGTTGTTTAAGGAGGAGAAAGCACTTCTCTTTCTCTTATACTAAATGTAAAATCTCGCGCTACTATAAAGACAATTGTCATTTTCTCTTTACATCTTCACAAGCTTTGCAAATGGATCTGCACGTCTCATGTCTCGTTCGCTCCGTAACAGAATACTCGGCCACACGAGGATCCAGCAGCTTTTCATGTGGACATTGGCCAGGTATGGACTTTGCAAGACTGTTGTTAGCCCGAGGATTATATTCAAGAGTATCTGGAAATTGCTTACTATTCTGATTTACCAGACTGTGTTTTAATAGACTTTTTCTGTGAGGGCATTAATCACCCACTAAAGTCTAAACTCATTAACGAGGGTCCACGTTCATCACTAAGTCAGTTTATAGGCTATGCTTTGTTGTGTGTTGGCTCTTCATTCACTGTGGGTGTCACGGAGGAGGAACGTGACACCGCGTCTGTGACTGAAATGGCGGCCGCACCGGAGCGCACTCACATAATGGCGGCGACAGCGGAGCCTGTTCGCAAAATGGCTGCGACAACAACGCCCCGTCATGTCACAGCTGCCATCCCTGAGTCAAGTCAAGTCACAGCTGATTTTCCTGAGTCAAGTCAAGTCACAGTTGATCTTCTTGAGTCAAGTCACGATTGATCTTCATGAGTCAAGTCACAGCTGCTCGTAATGTGTCCAGTCACGTCTCAACTGATCTTCCAGAGTCTTGTCACGTCTCAGCTGATCTGCCGGAGCCTCGTCACGTCTCTGCTGATCTGCCAGACCCTCGTCACGTCTCAGCTGACCTTCCAGAGCCTCGTCACGTCTCAGCTGATCTTCTAGAGTCTCATCACGTCTCAGCTGTTCTTCCAGAGTCTCGTCACGTCTCAGCTGTTCTTCCAGAGTCTCGTCACATCTCAGCTGATCTTCTAGAGTCTCGCCATGTTTCAACTGTTCATCCAAAGTCTTGTCACGTCTCAGCAGTTCGTCCAGAGTCACGTCACATATCAGCTGATCTTCCAGAATCTCGTCACATATCAGCTGATCTTCCAGAGTCATGTCACATCACAGCTGATCATCCAGAGTCACGTCTATGGTGGTGGCGCCCAGCAATACACTTTCAGCCTGTCATGTCACTGTCGAAGGAACCGCTGCTGAACTCTGTGCCTGTCTTGTTAAGGAGAATATTCATGAACTTTCCCTGTTTCCTGATGGTACGGCTGTAGAACCTCCAAGGGTGGCGGCATCCGCTGCAGAACCTCCAGAGGTGTCAGTGGTATCCACTTATAAACTCTCGTCCTGTTCTGTTCCGGCCAGGGAGGCCGTCTGTGATCCCTCTGCCTGTCCTGTCACGGCTATGAAGGTCGCCTGTGATCCCTTTGCCAGTCCTGTAACGGCTATGGAGGCCGTCTGTGAATTCTCTGCCAATCCAACCTGTCGCGGCTACTAAAGCCGTAAATGAACTTTCTGTGAGTCCTGTTTCAGTCAATGAATTTGCTCCACCAGTCCCAGTTAATGAGTCCAATTCTGAATTGTCTTCCGGTCCAGTTTTCCCCAATGACTCTGAACTGTCAATTTGTACAGTTTCAGCCAACACATGTAATTTTGAGTTGCCCGTTAGTTCATTCTCTGTCTATGCACCCAATCTTGAATCATCTGTTTTGCCAATGTCAGTTAGTGATCCTAGTGAGGAATTGTCTGTCTGTTCAGTGTTCCAAGGTGTGTCTAGCTCAGAACCAACTGCCTTACCAGTTTCAGTCAAGGAATCTAAACCTGAACAGTCTGCTGGTCTAAATGTAGCTGTTGAATCTGTCACTGAACTGTCTGCCTGGTCAATCCTAGTCTGTAAGCCTGTTTATGAACTGTCATCTTGTCCAGTATCCCAGAGTCTGTGTGATTTCCCTGTCTGCCCAGTTCCAATCAAGGAACCTGTTATCTGCCCCATTTGTCCAGTTAACCCTGTCACCTGTTCTGCTTCCCCAAATGTGTCTGCTGAACTGTCTGTTTTGCCAATCCCAGTCAGTGAGTCTAATTATGAACTGTCAGCCCAGTCCTTCATGGCCAAGGAGACTGTTAATGAACTCTTTACATTTCCTGCCTCGGCCCTTGGGGCCGTGAATACTCCGTATGTGTTGTCTGTCTCTGCTTTTCCTAGGTCTCAGTCTCTGCCATGGTTTCCTGATCAGTCTGGTCCTCCGTGGTGGTCTTCTGCTCCGTCTACTTCGGCTTGGTGGTCTTCTGCTCCATTTGCTCCGGCCTGGTGGTCTTATGCTCCTCCGTGGTGGTCTTCTGTTCCGTCTACTCCGCTGTGGTGGTCTTCTGTCTTGCTCTGGTGGTCTTCTGCTCCATCTGCCCCGCCGTGGTGGTCCTCTGCTCTATCTGCTCCTCCGGCTTCGCCCTGGCTACCTGCTTTGCCGGTTCCGCCCTGGTTCCCTGCTCCGCCCTGGCTTCCTGCTTCGCCGGCATCACCCTGGTTCTCTGCTCCGCCCTGGTTCCCTGTTCCGCCCTGGCTTTCTGCTTCGCTGGTTCCACCTGGGTGCCCTGCTCTGCCGACTCTGCCTCAGTCCCTGGTCTCTCCACTTCCACGTGCACTTGGCCCTCCGTCCCTCCCCCTGTTCCGCCTCCGCTCCACCGCCCTCCCTGGATTATACAGAGGTCACTCGTCCATCATATTGACTCTCTCACTACACAGACTGTTACATGTCACCACGGACTACATTTCCCATCATCCATTGCACTGATTGCACACAGCTGTAACCAATCACACACACACTATATTACACTCACTCAGATCCTTCTCAAACTGCCGAGTATTGTAAGCGCATATCGCTACCCTAGCTGATAGCTACTTTATGGAGCCTGCTCTAGTTTTCATAGTCTAGTCTTTGTCATAGTCTTGCCTTGCCTGCTTTCCCATGTTGGATTCTTGCCTGAGTATTTTGGATTATGTTTGCACCTTGCCTGGACTATTGCTCGTGTTCCTCGGATTACCCCTCTTGTCACGCCCTCTGGATTACGTTCGTCATCGATCGACCCATGCCTGTTTAACGGATTACTCTTGTGTCTTGCCTGTGCCATATCTGTTTGCTGGTGTTCGACCCTGCCTGTTTCTGACCATGTCTTCTAATAAAGCTTTGCAAATGGATCCGCACGTCTCGTTCGCCCCGTAACAGTAATGTTTTAAGACTATTGCATATTATTTAAACTTAAATGAAAATGTGCTTTTATTTAAAAGCTAGTATTTAAAATTAAATGAAAAAGTGATATTTTGACTCACTAAAGTTGGACTTAAGTACATCTTTATATGTAATTTCATAATTACTTCTATTGTCTTTGAAATATGGTTAGTGCACTGCTGAATTTACTGACAAGCTTTTATTGTAAACTAAAATATACTTTAATGTCATTTCTATTGAAACTTGTATGTCATGCATTTAAAATGTATTGCAATTTAGTACATTTAAAATATATTAACATTCATTGAAATATCGAATATCACATTACAGTTAAATGACTTAACATGAGCTTTGCTTAATCGACACATCAAAATAAGTGTACTTATTTAAAGCACTACAAAAATTATTAAAATATAATGATGTTAAAGGTAAAGTAAAACTTTGAATTGGACATTACAAAGTGCACTTTTTAAAAGTGTACTTAAGTGTGTCAAGAAACAGTCATGAAAGTGTACTCTCTTTAAGTACACATAAGTGGCATTATACTCCATTAATATTATATTATGTGCAAGTACAGTTTTATATATTAAAAAAATACTTTTAAGAATTGAAGTACACTACAAGTGCACATTCAATACAATTAAGCGCAATTATTTTTTACAGAGACACTTGTGAATTGATGTCAACTTTCTCTTTTGTAAACATTGGCACCAAAAAAAAAAAAGGTGCTACTGCTTCTTATGGTGTGACTCAGGCACAATATTAAATAATGATCGGCAACATAAGAATGGAGAGCTTTTTAAATGAAAGCAACCATGTATTACTGTTTACCTGTTTGCAGTGCCTGCATCTCTTTCAGGGAATTGACTTCCTGCCACAGTTTGTCAATCTGTGTCCTCATTTCATCATCTTCGGCAGCTGTATCTCAACAGAAGAACGACAGCAGAGGTCAGATCAAATCAAAATATTCAATACATTCCAAAAGCTTGATTGTATCTAAAAAAGAGTTCTGAAAGATTTGTTGCAGTTGAGGATAAACATATATTACTGACACAAAAGCAACCTCTCTGTCGAGCTGGAACTGCTTTCTTGGAGCGAGAAGGATAGCCATATCCAGACCGGAGAACACTAAAGCAGACCACTAACAGCAGAAGCCGAGACTGTGCCATGGTCACAGCTGAGAAGTCCCAAATACAGACGAGCTGTGCAAATCACTGAGAAAAATGTGGACAAGTCTTACAGTTTTCTCCCTTTTTTACTATCAGGCTATTGGTTGGACATTCTGTGTTTTTGTGTACCTAAAGGGAATTGAATTGCACCTTCAGTGCAGTCACAACAACCATTCCCCTGTTTCCAGCCATTCACAAATATTTACTTGGGAAGCACATGAAATTCATTTGGGAGTTTTCCCATTCATAACCCAACAAGAAAATTCATTCAAGCAGGGCTGAGCCTGGTCAGTACCTGGATGGGCGACCTCCTGGGAAAACTAGGTTGCTGCTGGAAGAGGTGTTAGTGAGGCCAGCAGGGGGTGCTCACCCTGTGGTCTGTGTGGGTCCTAACGTCCCAGTATAGTGATGGGGAGACTATACTAAGCGCTATATAAATGTAATGAATTATTATTATTATTCACTACTACACGTGTTATGTGTATCATGGATTAAAAAACTCAAGGTAATTAAATTATATTTCAGTATTTCAGTCCTTTGTGAATAAATCCCTTGCTTTTGACCAGTTTGTTATAAAGTGATTTATAAAAAGCCGATTACACAGGGGGTAAAAATTCTAACAGAAAAAAAGCTGATCCAATGTGAATATGTTATATTTTATTATATTTGCATATAGCATTCATCTTTTCATTTATTTTTTTTAATTCTGCAAATTTTCAGCTTTCATCATTTCATCTGAAACATTTAAAAAATGGAATTAGTAATAATGTAATAAAAAGTTTTAATAATAAATGTTAATTAGAACAATCAAATGTATTAATAATTTAACAAATTTCATTAATTTAATAATATAATTTAGTACATTTAAAATTTTCAAATAAAACATTTTGGGTAACACTTTCTATGAAGCCCGTATTTATAATACATTTATTATAAATACGGGCTTCATAGAAGGTGTTACCAAATTTTGTTTTACTTAATAATAAATATTGATTAGACCATACTAAATTATTTTTATTTTATAAAATATTTTATATTAATAATTATATTCATATTTTATCTAAGTTTAGTTTGTTTTAACCTGAAACATTGATTAGATAATCAACATTAATTTAATTTAATTTATTTTAATAAAACTGTTACATTTTTTATTTTATTCATTAGATCTTATCAAATAATATTTAATTTTATCTAAAAGTTACATTTGTTTTAACCAGAAATGTTGATAAGATCAATAATATTAATTGAACTTAAAGGAGTCATATGATGTTGCTAAAAAGAACATTATTTTGTGTATTTGGTGTAATGAAATG